TAAAATGGCTCCCTTACCTAAGCAGTGAGATACACTTGGTGTAGTGATTGTTCCTGCCCCAGATGGGCCGATGGTCAGTTGTAGGAACTCAGATCTGAGAAGCGACGGGAGAGACCAAGTCAATGTTCTGTGTTTTCCACGTAACCTTTCTCCTCCACTGTCCAACAAAGTCATTCTGGAAGTGTCCGGCTTTATCTTGTCCACTAGCATGTGACCAAACTTCTTTCTTGCACTATATGAAGCAAACGAAGAGGTGATGTAACGGGTTGAGAGAAGCAGAGGGAGAAGGGGGAGGCGATGGGAGCAGGGAGAGAGAAACGTGAAAATGAGGTTGGCACTGGAATCCATGGCACATTTTTAGTAACAGTACGAAATAGTTAAAGTTTTAGAGGTGTTTGTTCCAAGAATCATAGTAAATCAACTGTAGCTTTGCACAGTGTGTGTGTCCATGTAAGCTTCATAAGGTATTAGGCCCCTTGCTCCTAATTTTCCTGATTGTTTTAAAACACATGTGTGAGGTGTTCTCAACAATGACACACTGTGTCTCTGAGCTCTTCATTACCCATCATCAAAATTTTAATGTGTTTTAATTTTGTGGATTATTTTTTGAAAGGGAGGGAGAGAAGAGAAAAAGGAGAGGAAAGAAAGAGAGATGTCAGAGTCTCATGTATTCCAGGATGACTTAAACATTCTGTGTAATACAAGGTGACCTTGAACTTAGCTTCCTCCTGCCTTCATTTCCCTAGTGTTAGGAGTGCCAGTGTTTGCTTTCATGGCACTGACTGGAACCCAGGCCTTCAAGTGTATCAGGCAAGTGTTGTGCTGACTGAGATACTCTTCCCACTCTTGCTGAGGAATTTTAGCAGAAGGGCTTTTCTTTGTTGTTTCTGGTTGTTTGTCCTTACTTTCAGGGTTATCGACATTTTGGAGGTTTTGTTTGTTTGTATTTCTATTTAGAAATTTGCTAAACTTTGTTCTTGAATTTCCTAACTCTTCTCCCACAACGACTTTGCCACTGATCTTCTGAGCCATTTCTGTCAGCAGCATTTACTCGGCTCTGCACTTCATCAAAGCTCTCCACTTCGGTCTTCAGCTTTGAAGGCACATCTGGCTGTGGCCGCCGCAGACTGCATCGACGCTTCCACCATTTGCCTTCTGTTCATTAAGGGTGGACAAGTCCAGCTCCTTCTGTCCCCACCATCATCAGGAAATTAGTTTAGGTTTCAGCCCTCCCACAGCCAAGCTTAGCTAAGCACAGGCTTCCTTGAATAGCTTGCTTGTTATTGTTGTTGTTTTGTTTTTCTATAAAGACTCTAGAATCAAGACGTTCCCAGCACTCTGGGAATCCCAGAGCTCATAACTATATCTGTTTCTAAGGTTATTTCCAACCGTTGTAGAGGACAAACTACAGGCAACCAAGTCGCTTGGCTGTAGTGACCCGCTCTAGTTTCCTGGTCACCGCTTTTTTAGAACATGGTCAGTTGATTCCTTGGTGTATCTTCCAACAGCCTCGGTGAGCGAGAGCTTCCCACGGCTGCCTTGCATTCTACTTGCCCAAGCAAGCAAGATTCAACCGAATCCTGCCTCTTACTTAGTTTCTTCTGTGCAATCCGCTTTGGAAGTGCCACCTACAATATCGGAAGTTCCGTAGTAAACAGTGTCTACACTGGAAGTCTCAGAGATGGCAACCCTTCTGTCACAGCTAAGCAGAGAGTTCCGGCTTTTCTAACCAACTCAGGCGAGTGGAGTGTGCGCCCCTACATTATCTCAGTGCAGGAATACACCTAAGGTAGATGGACCCCTGGAAAGATACTATGTGTATACCACTACCTTGTAAGGAAAAAAATGTTTAACAAAATTCATGGGAGCCTGTAAGTGATTGTTCTATAGGTTTTTAAAGAGGAAGAGAAGAAATATGCCTGCAGTTACTCACCCCTCTGTCAGTGCCCGTGAGAATTCTTTACTGTGAATGAAGAAAGGCAAAAATCCCATGCCAGCTGCATTCTAGTCTGCTGGTCCCTTGCCACGGAATCCCACAAAGGAAATGAATCCCTTTCTGCAGCTGTGTTCTTATTTCCTTTTGGAACAGGGACTCTGCCACAGTGATGGCTTTGTAAAAGGCACAGTGTCCCCAGGGCACCTGGTTACCCTAGCTTAGAAGGATCACAGTACATGGGAAAGGCGAGAATCGGGGGCTGGGATCCTCACAGGTGTCTCGTCCCAAGGCCATTGCCAGTCCTGGACAGCCCCTCACTCTTGAGAGAAGTTTAGAAAGATTTAAAGAAAGTGTTCCCAGGAGAGGGCTATGTCTGCCACAGGAGTGTACTTGCCTTACTCAGAGAGGACCTAAAACAGGGCACACCCCGAGAATGTACTTCTCATTTGCTGTCATTTTAACAAGCTCAGTATCAAGTTTTTCCAAGTTATAGAGTCATAAAATGGCATTTGTCACCTTCAGGAATAGGGGTTGGTTCAAAGGACACTGTAGTCTCTCTACTCCACGGCCCCTCCTCTTCAGTCCCTTTTCCCCCTCCATGTCACCCACGGTGGAAATTCTCCTCCTTTCTCCCTTCCTCTTAGCCATTTCTTGCCTCAAAGGACAACTCAATAATCAGTTGCTTACCACGTTATAAACTGTTCTGGTTCCGTTGTGCATGGCTATTATATCATGACTGGTCTGCTTAAAAATAAATTGGAACTTCCCTTACAGAAAATTTTGTGTGTGTTAGGCATGCTGAGGTCCACGTAGGGATCTTATTCTGCTTTATTAAATTTTTGAGACAGGATCTCCTGTAGCTTAGCCTGTACATAGCTGGTAATAACCTTGAACCCCTGATTCTTCTACCTCTATTTTCCAAGTACTAGGACTGTAGGCACACAGTCTATTCAAGGCTCTTTGTACATTTCATTGGACTCGTATAAAAGAGCCGCCCCGATACACCTGGTCACCAGAAACATGGGAAGGGTCCCTCTTTTCTTCATACATTTGCTAATAGTGATTTGATATAGACTCTTACAAACAAATAACTATACATTGAGGATGGGGGGAACTTGGGGAGCAAAGATGATTGGGATAAAGGAAGGTTGGATAGGGGAGCACGGAAGCACAATTCTTAGTTAAGGGAGCCACCTTAGGGTTGGCAAGAGACTTGAACCTAGAGTGGCTCCCAGGAGCCCAAGGCGATGTCCCCCGTTAGTTCCTTGGGCAGCTGAGGATAGGGAACCTGAAATGACCCTATCCTATAGCAATACTGACGAATATCTTGCATATCACCATAGAACCTTCATCTGGTGATGGATGGAGATAGACACAGAGACCGACACTGGAGCACTGGACTGAGCTCCCAAGGTCCCAATGAGGAGCAGAAGGAGGGAGAACATGAGCAAAGAAGTCGGGACCACGAGGGGTGCACCCACCGAGACAGTGGAGCTGATCTTTTGGGAGCTCACCAAGGCCAGCTGGACCGTGACTGAAAAAGCATGGGATAGAACTGGACTCTCTGAACATGGCGAACAATGAGGGCTGATGAGAAGCCAAGGACAATGGCATGGGGTTTTGATCCTAGTTAATGTGCTGGCTTTGTGGGAGCCTAGCCAGTTTGGATGTTCACCTTCCTAGATATGGACGGAGGGGGGAGGACCTTGAACTTCTCACAGGGCAGGGAACCCTGACTGCTCTTTGGACTGGAGAGGGAGGGGGAGAGGAGTAGGGGGAGAGAGAGAAGGGTGGGAGGAGGGGGAGAAGGGTGGGAGGAGGGGTGGGAAATGGGAGGCTGGGAGGAGGCGGAAACTTGTTTTTTCTCCTTTTCTCAATAAAAAAAAAGAAATATTCTGGAAAAAAGTGACTAAAATATTTTGAGTGCACACAGGTGCCTTCTCAGGAAAAATATGAACTTCTGAGGTAAATACTTGTTACTATTTTTTAAAATTATCTATTACCTTGTCTCTGCCAGATGTTTTTGTGGAGAAAAGAACTTGGTGCACTCATTTACAGTGACTTACCAGATTTTTTTATTCAATAACAGTTACTGTGATTTTAATCTTTAGATCTTGTTGTGTAATATGGGCTAGACTCGAAGTCATGATGAAATCTCCTTCCTCACCTTCCTGAGTTCTGGAATTGCAGGCATGTGCCACCATACCAAGGGAAATTAACAATTCTTAAACTCCACATTATTTCTTCATTATATCTTTTTAAGGCAAGCATGGTAGTGCCAGGCTTTAATCCCAGCACATAGGAGGCAGAGGCAAGCAGATCCCTGGGAATTGCTGGTTAGCCCATTCCACATAGCAGGTTCCATGTGAGCCAAAGCTAATAGTGAGACTCTGGCTCAAAAGTTATGTATTTTTCTGTTTTACATTTATTTTTACCAATCCTTTTGTAGGGGCATTTCAATTGTGTTTTAATTAATAAAGACTGCCTGAAGATCTGAAAAGTAAAACAGCCAGCCACTGGCTCTTACCTCAGTCTGAAATGGCGATCCTGTCTCCAAGAATATTAGAATGAGACTGTGTGTTGAGAGTTGGTTCCCCCTATTTTATAATCTTCTCTATGCCTGGAATTAAAGGAGTGTACCACCATGATTAAAGGCATGCACCACCAGATTTCCGTGGTAACCAGTGTGGCTACTGGGATTAAAGGCGCGTGTTACCATAACCTGGTCTGTAAAATTGACCAGTGGGACTGTTTTACTCTCAGATCTTCATGCAGCCTTTATTTATAAAAATGTAATTGAAATACGACTACACCCCTTACTTTTTTTTTTTTAATTGCTTACTTATCATGTATACAGTTTTCTGCCTGCATAGCAGGCCGGAAGAGGGCACCTGAATGCATTATAGTTGGTTCTGAGCCATCATGTGGTTGCTGAGAATTGAACTCATGACCTCTGGAAGAACAGCCAGTGCTTTGAGCCTCTGCTGAGCCATCTCTCCAGCCCAATTCCTTACTTCCTGATGGAAAGTGGTTTTATTAGTCAAGAAATAAACTGTAAATTGAAATTGATTATCAGTTTTATTTCACGATTGATAAAACATTTCAAATAAAACAATCACAACTAAAAACATTTCCAGCTTTGGTTTTAACTTCACATTTCAAACAAGTCACAATATTTATAAAATACTCCTATTGGTCATTTTATAACTGGGGCTTAATTAGCAAGAGTTCTGCCAAATGAACCAGAGGACTTCTGCTCTCATTTCCTTCCCTAGGGAAATGGGAACCGTTTTCATTCTTAGTTTAAATCATTGATAAAAAACATGCCTTCTTTTATCCTCATGTTAAACACTGAGGATGACATGCATCCTAAAATTAGCCTTGTTGCTAAGCTGATGCTCTTGCACAATCTTACCAGGGCTATGTTACAGCCTTTACATTTTCCTTAGTAAAAAAAGTCAGCTGCCAATACATCAGCTTTCCTTATAGCTTGTTGTTTTGAGTGCTTTTTTTCCTTCCATCTTCTCTTGCGTATTTAATTACAGGGTATTTTGGTAGATAATTTGAAGAATAATTTCTCTTGGGGAACAAAGCATAGTCCCAATGATATGAAACTCATAAAGATATTCTTTAGGGTATCTTTTATGCAAATAGTTATATTCTTGAGGTATGATCAGACACCACTAGCTGGGACCAGTGGGTATCAACCCAAAACCAAATCTACAGAAGAATAAACAACAACACAAGCTAAATATTTGGTGTATCAGATTCTGAATAACCCCCCAGTGAATTCCTATCTTCGGTGCAAAAGGACAAATGAAAGTCTCTGGTGCCCACATTAAAGAAGCCTCTACCTCTTGATATGGCGTCCTTGGGTGATCATCTGATGCAATGACCATTTGGCCAGAACTAGTCACCTTATAAAGACTTTAGTGGAGGTGGAGACCCAATTCACAGAGCATCACCGGGGGTATGGTACCTGGGGGCTGAGATGACCGGGAGGAACTGCTTTTCAGAGAGGCAGCATGTTTCCACTGTGGACTTTATTTGTGAACAATCTTTATTTGACCACAGAGTTGAGAGGGAAGTTCCCCCTTAGAGCAATGGTCCTCAACTCTCCTAACAACATGGTGACCCTTTAATACAGTTAGTTCCTCATGCTGTGGTGACCCCCAACCATAAAATTATTTTTGTTGCTACTTCATAACTGCAATTTTGCTACTGTTGTGAATAATAGTGTAAATATCTGTGGTTTTGGGTGGTCTTAGACATTAACTGTAAAAGGGCCATTTGGCCCCCAAAGGGGTCATAACCCACAGGCTGGACTTCCCACACCAAACTTCCTTGCTTTGGTAATAACTTAACATGTTTTGGCCATGTTAAATCCTCATGTTATTAAGTCCAGGGGTTTTACTTCAATGATGTGGGTAATTGTACTAGGAACTACAAAATGAGTCTTACTTGGGAAAAAAGCAGTGAAATGTCAAAACTGAGCCATCTTACGACACCAGTGGGGCTTAGCTCTTTTGCTGGATTCTCATCTGTAACTGAGCAGAGTCACAGGATTTTGTACACACATCATGAGAGCTCCAAGATCTCTAAGATTCGTAGGATGCTACTGACTCACTCACCACCCAGAGAGTAACATTAGAGTTCCTTAATTTAGTGACTTTTGTCTGTCAGCAGTCACATAGGAAAGCGAAGGGGGGCCGCAACCCAAAACAACAAACATCTAAAGTCTTTTTAACCAAAAACATACAAATACGTATGATTTGTATGTTAGAATCTTTAATCGGTATCTTTAATTCAATGCCTCACACTCCATTCAAAATACATAAATATAGAAGTTTTTGAGAAAAAATTACTTTAATGGGACATCAGTGAGAAAACTGTGTTTAAAAAAAACTTTGCCTTACAGGGTAATGTTCAGCTTTCCCGAACCTACTTGACTTAGAAAATCAGTCATTAGTGCCATGACCTCAAAATTCTGTTTACCCTATATATCGTTTCCTTTCTGAAAGAGACAAAATTAAAAAAAAAAAAAGAATTAAAAACAACTAAAGTCCAGACTCAGGAATCGGGAAATGCCTTGATGATAGACTCATAGGCGGGCGGGGGCGGTGTGGAGAGGCCCATCCGCAGGCTGTTGCTGGACCAGCGGAAGTCTGGCCTGCTGGGACTGTGCAGGGTGCTGATGGCAGCTGGGGTGGTGGAGGCAGGCAGGGTCATCAGCTGACTCTCGGTTTCCACCGGAAGCGGTGGGCATTGCAGGAAGGGATGGAAAGTTGAAGCCCTGAAGCTTGATTTCCTGGGGAAGGAGTTGGCCAGCTCCAGAGATGCTTGCCTCTGGAAGGTGAGACTGGCCAGGCTGAGGTTGCTCCGGCGCTCACAGCCACTGTGGCGGTAGAATCCAGTTCTGTTGAGGCCGTGGTTGTAGGAAGACCTGGGTCGCCTGGTGGGACTCCACTGTGAGATGGGTGCGCTGGCTCTTTTTCTGCGAGACAGGAACACGAAAAGCGCCCAGAGAAATCCTCCGATGGCGAGCCCAATCGCCACGGATACAGTGAAGGACATGATTAGGTCCTCTGAAACAGAGAAGAGTCAATAAACCAGTAGCTCTAATTTCAAAGGCAATTCATTTAAAAACACAGGGCAGGCCATGAACTGTAATTCACAGAATGGCTTCTGAATTTTAACATGCTTTGAATTAGGGAAATGGAGAACGATCAGGACTCCACTTATTTAAACAGAAAGCTATGAAAAACAGTTTGCTCGTGTTTACCATCTTTAGAAATTAAAGTCTCCCTGAAGCTCAACTTTAACTTAGCGATTTTTCTTACAGAACTGCACACAGAAATGTCCACAGCTCATTTCCTTTGGAATTACGATTAGAGCTAATGCCCCCGTGGGGAAAGAAGGCCGTCACAGCGATGATGATAATGCTTCCCCCGTCTGCTTTGCTCTGTCACACTGATCTCTCCCACCTGCAGTCTTGATGGCACCCCACTTCCTGCACTCTGTCAGAGGCAGGAAGTTCAGGGGCAGAACCATCTGGAGGGCTGACTGATTTATGTCATTTTTCCTAAACCCCCAGACTCTCGGATCTCTGACTATACGATGACAAGACCTATGCAGACAGATGCTTGGGCTTTTTCTTCTTCCTCCGGTTCCAGCTCATACTTCTCTCATGTCTGTTTTGTGACAATGAAACCCCACCTTCCAAATCTCCACAAACTTTCCACAGCACACTAGTGTCCTCCAATTCACCGAGCTTCGGTTCGCTCTGATTTCTTCTGCAGGCAAATACATATATGTACATATCAGCCCCTTCCCTCAATGGGGGTGCTACCTGGATGCCCCTTAGAAAGCATATTCTTCATGAATTTATTGGAGAAGCTGAGCCCTTACTCTACATGAAAGACCTATATTGTTGAAACTCTTTTTAGCTTACTGCTCAGAACCCTCTCCATCCGCCATTCCAGGAGCCAACCCCAAACCGTGCTGTTTGCTTTCTGTCTCAAAACCTGTGGGGTTTTTTATTGCAATCTTTTGTTCATTCACATACAATTTTCCTTATGTGTCGACATAAATTTCTGAGTCTGGGGAATTCATTTTTATAGAATTATTCTAAGTACTGTCTTTTTCATACAAAAATGAGTTAATGTTAACTCGAAAGTCAAGGCGTATATTAAATTGCCTATACAAGGATTCTACAGGCAAAGAGCTATAGACTAGAAATGGGCATCTGAAGGTTTTACTCCTGGGGTCATGGGCATGGGTTCTTTGTTTGTAATCCCGTTAGCAGGTACAGTCTATTCCCCTACTCTAAGAGCCCTCAGTGGGACTCACTTGACTAATGAGATGCAATGGAATTGAAACTTTGTAAGTTTGGGTCTAAACGGCAAGAGACTTTCCATTTCTGCCCTGGTTGGTTTGGGGACTTCTTTATGATGGACATAGGAATAAAGCCAAGCTAGTGTGGTGGCCAGTGGAAGACACAGGGCTGTCCTGTGGATTATCCCCATGGCCCTGACCGAAAGCCTGCTATCCTTGATATGACAAAGGAATGAGTAGCTCTAGGTCATTCAGGTGCTGGCAAACCAAACCTCATCTGACCTTGAGCAAACCAAAGACCATCTTGTTGACTCCTTGCTGAATTGTCAGCCCCAAATCATGAGCTAATTACCTGATTTTTTTAAACAAAATTCTACTTTGAGTGCTTATTGATTAGCAAATGCTCATTGATGTTAAGGTCACACAATTGCAGACCCAACCCTATTGAATAAATATTGGTGGGTTTATTTCATCTCACAGATTTCTTTTTTTTAAAAGTTGAGGGGGAAACTAGATTTTATAATTGCCAAGTCTTTTTCCAGATTCTTGCTGTAGCATATAGAAAATCTAGAATGCAGAAACAAACCAAAACAATTAAATGCTAATAAATACATAAGCACAATCACTACTAACTATCTAACTTTAGGATTTATGTTATCATGCCCCTTTGCCTCCTATTGCCATAGGGGTGTCCCGAGGCAAAGTTGTCTTTGTTGTTATTGCGATTATTTTCATATATAATCATATCAAAACTTTCCAAAACAATCTTTACATTAACCACAAATTAAGTTCTCTCTGAAATGGCTTTTGAAGTCTAAGATAATTTAGGATAAAGCTACTGACCCCAGTACCGTTGTTCTGAAATCTTCCTCACAAAAATAAAAAGTCATGGTGTCAAAGTTCAGTGTTCTCAGAGATTTCATAGAGTCAGATATTATTTTAAAAATGAAATAAGCATAACTGAACCTAAAAGTTTAGTCTTACTTTTGTATAACATGATTCAAACCTAACTTTAGCTATGCCCCCAAATCTAAAATTCTGACTATAAAGAAGTTTCAGAAATTCTGCTGCTAACATCCTCCCCTACTGTGCCTTCCAACTCGAAGGTCCTACAGCTGTCCGTCGATCTCAGAAATCATAATCACAACCTCAGCACTGTAAATGGTGTGAACATTTGGTAGAGGCCACCATCTAGTGGGCCACTGTTGAATTGTTGCAGCGTCCCAACATGATTTTCATAGCTGATCATAAAATGGAAGGCTGGTTAATACATCCAAAGCCCTACAGTTGAGAGACCCATGGGCTTGCCTCGTCCTGAAATAGATCATCCATTCTCCACTTCCTAAAGTGTAGATGAGGTGGTTTCAGAGATAGGAAGGTTGTGACGAAAGGTCTTTTGAGGGGACAGACTCCAGCACACAGAAACGAGAATGGTCACGATTAGCAGAAGATGTAATGGATAAATGTTTCTATGTTGATCACCTCTGAGAAATTCCCTCAGGCTCAACAACAGAACGGGTTTCAGCCTCCCCCTGTCTACACTGCTGCTCTTCCAATGCTACCATAGGCTGCTGGAGATTGCAGCTGTTTCAGCTGGGCTTCGTGCTTTATGCTTCTCGCCTTGGCAGCATCAAGCATGCGTATCCAGCTGCCCTCTCTTTTCAATCATGCAGTAAGTTCAGTCATATTACATATATGTTCCAACCCCCCCCCCCCGCCCAGAGTAAAAGCAAACTCCTAAAGATAGTCTAAGGTCTCCTACCTGAGTGCTGCTGCCCCACGAGCTGAGCTCACTATCTGATTCCTCTCTCTTGTTCCTCACCAAATATGCTTCTGATAAAGGGCTCATGCCTGGTTCTAATTTGTTCTCTCAAAAAAATATGTTTGCAAATATCTACATGGTTATTATTTTCTGTCTTTTTTTTCTTCCTATTCTTTTTAGGTATTACCCAACTTTCTTGTTGAGGTCTCCTCATCCCAAAATTACGTCCTGGCCCACTTCTTACACCCAGTTTGATCTCCCTCCCCATTACAGGAAACGGTTCAGTTCCTACTCCTGAAAAATAATAAAACCAGATGTCTATACATGACAAGCTATAACTGTTCTCAGATTTGAAAAGAGGGAAGTGCCTTATGTCTTTAATGGTAAAAAGGAATTAATAATAGCAATCCTACTTGCACTGACACTTTGAATAGTGTGGTGCACAAATAAACACAGGCTTGGGAAATTTGGGTTTTGTCTAATAATACTTGATCACAATTCCCAGGGCACAAAATCAACCTGATTGTCCACGACCAGATGAATAAGTTGAGGAAATGAAGCCTGCAGAGTCCCGAGTAACATAATCATGGCTTGGTGACTTGAGGTCACCTTTATGAGAATGGTTTCAAAAGACAATGTCACTGAGCACGGTAAAAGCCTTCTTAGCTTGTGTGTGTGTGTGTGCAGTCTGTAATGTTTGTGTGACAAAAACTTCAAACAATGCAATTCTCAAAACTAGCCTATGTTATTTAGCAGCATCTGAATAGGAATGAATAGTGTATAATAATATAAGCGCATTACTGAACCTCAGAAGAACAAAGAAAGGAAATTCTGTAATTTAAAACAATGTAGAAGAATCTGAAAGGCATTAAAGGAAGTGAAATAAGGGAGACCCAGAATGGATGAGTCTTCACTGTAGAATTCTTCAGACGTTTTTGTCCAGTGAACATTTTCATAATAAAGTGTTGAGAAGACAAGTCAACATAGTATAGATGACTTATACAAGGTATATTTGAAAATAAAATTCAAGTGGCAAATTCTTAGAATACTGAAAAATAAGAGTCGGAAAATCAGAGTGACTTTCTAATGTCTAAAGAAAAAATCAAATGTGGTGCTGGAGAGATGACTTAGTGGCTCGCTGTTCTTGAAGAGGTCCTGAGTTTGGTTTCCTGCACCCACACAGCACATTGGCTTGTTCACAACCACCTGTAACTCCAACTCTGAGGGATCCGATATCTCTGACCTCCAGGGGCAACTTTACTGATGTTTACACACACACACACACACACACACACACACACACACACACACACTTAAAAATAATTTTAAATGAATGTGTTATTTTCAAACTCCCAGCTAGAAATATCAGATGTAATGCCACAAATGTTGACTATTTTAGATGATAAATAACCATCCAACTCAATTTTACATACATTCTACCAGATATTTCAAAATTAATGAATACTATTGACTTGTTTTACAATGCTTGTATGACGTTGATACCCAAACCCAACTTAGTTTTAATAAAAAACACACAGCTGTCACGATTTCAATGCAGAAGTCTGGAGACAAGGGATGCACAGAGAAATACATACAGCTTTGAGAGCTCCAGTTCTGTGGAGCCCAGTGAGAGATGCGATCTCTTGAATCTCCCTCTGAACCCAGACACATCTATCTGTCTTAAGAACCTACATTTGTAAACACTTCTTCTTCAAAGTTTCTAAGTAACAGACATACGGAAATAATTACAAGGCTATTCATAGGTCATAATGCATAACCATTGAAGAAATGTTTTATATTCAACTGAAGAAATGAGCTTGAGAAATGGACAATGTTTGCTTGATGTTTTGAGAGGACATTATGGAGACCCAGGAACTGTCCATGCCTGCTCCACCACCGTCCCAATACCCTGTGAATATATTATCTCATCTGCTTTCTAGATCCCTAAAAACCACATCTTTTCTGCAGACTAGGGCACCTCATTTGCTATGGGTTGAGGCATAACATTTTTTACAGACTGAGTAATCCTCACTAAGAATCCTACCACTTAGCAGCCCTGGATTCCCAACAAATCAGTTTGTAACCCTCCGATACCCCCGCGTGGGTTAATGTGATAAGCAAGAATGCACATGAGTAGGTTTTCTACTCCTACACTGTCAAATGAACCATTAAACACAGAGACTCGAGCATCATTTTTGAAAGTCAGCACTGCATTGCAATAACAAGGTGCTTTATAACTGAGATGTATTTGTGGTTTGTTTCTTTTTCTGTTCAGCTTCAAAACACTAGAAGTCTAAAGAACTCAAAAATATTAGTGTTTGCCAGAAACAGTAGTAGGAAAATGTATCACCATAAGCAATGTAAAGAGAAGCTTGCGGGAAAGACAAGAGTTTTACGGTGTATGAGCAATGAGGGCTCTGGGAAATGAGGCCATTCCTCCATCCCTCCTTCCTTTAGGGAATCCCAGTAGCTGGTACCCACTCCTAGATTCCTGGTTGATGTAGGTAGAAAGATTCAAAGCTCCCCATGAGAAACACTGGGTGCTGGAAGGGCAGAACAAGAGTCAGGCTCCTGAAGTTCCAGGGTTGTAGGAGACTGTGAAAGATGCTCTGCGCACTGAGACAGACCAGAAGGCAATAGGATGAGAGTCAGTCAACTGACCGGAGAGTCTGACAAGAAAGAAGAATCTTGTTCTTAGCCAGAAGTGCACAGATCACAAGAACCTGGCTTTGCAGTTTCAGGCAGGGAGGGAAACACATCCCCAGAGCAGAGGAGACACACTTGTCAGTAGCTGTCAGCAGAGGACCTTGATCAAGGACTTTTGGTTCACTCCCTCTTGTTCCTGAAGCAGCCGTCATCCTCAGACCTCATAAGCTATTTCTAGCCAAAGAAACCCAAAGAAGGTGGAGGTGAGGAGCCTTAGCGTCATCACAAGAGGGGCTGTCATAGTAACATGAACTTCTGCATTGCTATTCAGGTTCTTACAGACATCTGCTTCCATTCTGATCTCCAAGTTTGTTCCTGGAAATTCCACATATGAATGCCGCCCGCCGTTTGTTTCTTTGCAAACATATCCTAGTGTTTTTACTTCACACATTTGCCAATAACAGCTCTCCCAAGAGCCCCAATATTCTCAGACAATGTCTTGCCCGTATCATCTTGACATGTTTTCTAATAAATGCAGCCAAAGCTCCAGAGTTTATGAATGAACTGAAGAAGGCTGAGTTAACATATCAGAAATGAATGACCAGACTGTTATCCTTGGAATTATCCTTTTATTTGGAACTTATTTGGTTTTCTAGGAGTAGGTACTATCCCACTTTTTTCTAAAAATGATTCAGGGACCATTTCATATTTTAATTTCTATAGCATATTCTCATTCTTGGTCATTTTGTGTAATATAATGACAATATAAGACAAAACAGAAGTTCTTGATATTATTTATTGATTTAGCTATAGGCTTCTATTTGTTTATGTAGGAACACCTAATCACCTCCCAGAATGCAATCCTTTTTTAAATTATTTTTTATTGATTTTTATTGAGCTCTACATTTTCCTCTGCTGAATGCAATCCTTTTAAAGGAGAAATTACATTTTGGGGAAGGATTGATTAGATGAGTAAAGGCAAGCCCATACATCAATATATTGCCTCAGGTTTTCAGAGTGCTGGCCAAGGAAATACAAAAGCAGCAAAAACGGCCCGGTGAGAAGGCAGCAGAGAAAAACAGAAGTCACGTGTAGAGTTCCCAGTACCAAGAGAATGCTTGAGCTACACACCATTGTCAGCCCAATGGAATGTGAGGGTCTCTGGTCCCGGCTCTCTGAGATGGCTCAGTGGTTAAGAGCATTGCCTGCTCTTCCAAAGGTCCTGAGTTCAATTCCTGGCAACCACATGGTGGCTCACAACCATCTGTAACGAGGTCTGGTGCCCTCTTCTGGTCTGTAGACATGCACACAGACAGAATATTGTATACATAATAAATAAATAAATAAAATTAAAAAAAAAGGATGGGTTACAGAGAAGGGATGGGCATTACACTGAGCAGAGGTGGAATGCAAGGTGGGGTCGCCTGTGGTGGCAGTCTCAGGCCACTCCTGCTTGTGGCTAACATCAAGGGCTTTATAGCTCGCACGACTTTCAGTAGCTTTGACTGAGTGATAACATTGAACAAACGCCAGCTCTCGTTGTGTTGCAGCGGAATATCATTACTTATTTTTTCATTCCTTAAGTAAACAGGAAAGTTATATTTTGGGTTTTTAACTTTATATGTTAAGTTTAAGAAGTTCCTATGGCTCCTTGTATGAGTTGTTGAGTTTATGACATTTTTACTTATTCTCTTAACTCACAGGGCTACACAAAAGAGTCCTTTTGGAGGCGGAAGCTGGATTCCACCACACTGTGCATGATTTTCAAGTTAATATTTTAAGAGGACCGGTGATCAAAATAGATATCAATTCAGATGCAAAGCAGAAATGAAAATAGGAAAGACTGACATTTATATATCACAATATGTTTACATTTCATGTACTAAATTTATAATTACATTTTATATTCTGACTCCAGAAATAATAATGCAATCTTTCACCTCTTTCACCCAAAGCATCAAACATATTTTTGGTTCACCACTTTTGCTTTGGTTTAAAAGGATTTAAGACTACAACTGCCTCTTGGTTTTCCCCATTCTCATTTATCCTGCACCGTATCTCCATGCTAAGAGAAGGGAGCATTAATACCTATCTTTGACATAGGAATCGTGAAATCCCTGTTAAGCACAGATTTCCTTAGTAAGACTCGGAATGCTTGGATAAAGGAATGGACCACATATGAACATCTTATTGGTGTAAGATTTATCTTAATAAAAATCACCTGTGCTGTAACCAATGAGCAATGCATTATTTTTCCTATATAAATGTAGAGTCAATTTGAACGGCTTGTAAAGACAGAACTGCGTTAATTTTTACTCTTGGAATGATCTATGGAATAATTTACCATTGTTTTGTGATGAGTTTACTTAGATGCCCTCTAGCTGGTTTTCAGCACTTAATATAAATAAGGACAATAAGTACAATTTACACAAATGTAACATTAGACCATCCAGAATTCAAAGGTTTCTTGTCTCTTGATGTCTACCTAGAATTTGTAGAAGTAACTTATTTTTCAATAATTTTACTATGCGACTTTATTACAATAGCGTCAGTAAATCTCTTAAAGCTTGAAGCAAGCACCTTAATTAATAAAAATAACTAGTTAATTCCCTTCATGCCAATACCCGTGGTCAGAGATAAATAAGTCAGATTGTCAGGGCCAGATTGCTGTCACTGCTCAGTATTTACCAAATAGTTTCCAAAGCCCTAGCTCCAATCACAGCAGGTAGCTTGATACAGTTTTCTGAGATGATTAAAAACGTGTCTTGCACATAATAGGGTTATACAGCTCTCAATCAACTCCAGAGTTCCGATAAAGGTACTTCTGGATTTAACTTAAGTTATTCCCTTTACTTTTAAATTTCTGTGAACCACAGAGACATGCCAATGTCATTGCACATCCCAGCTCCTATATCGTAAATCTGGCCGGGAGTGGGTGGTGGTTTTGACCTCAGCATCTTCCTGCTCTTGGTTAGCATCACTGCACACAAAATCTTGAGCTCAGGTTAGCCTCTGCCAGAGCACGCTTTGGTATTGTTTCTCTCCCTTCGGTGACAGGCTCCCATCGTAATAGTGTTAAGTTATTTCTGCATCATCTTTTCTAGGTACATAATTTCACATTTTATCTTTGTCACCATTCCCAAGAGTCGTTCAAACATAGGTTTGTTGCTTAAATTGACTTTGAAAATTAAAAAGAGTAACATGGACAAAAACACAGACTTTAAAATCCTCTGTGGAATACCTTGGTTTCATGAAATAAAATATATAATCTATCAGCTTCAGACGAATAAAACATAATTTTCCAACAAAACTACCGTGTTATATTCCGTTTAACAAGGACTTCTACTTTGTATTTCTGTTTCTAAATGTCCACTTAAAAACATCTCTTGATTTCTAATTAAGTTTTGTTAATACCAACCAAACTTTCTATGTCTGATCCTACTTTAACATTCCTGTAGCTTATTCTGAAAACATTTTTATGAGTATATTTCTTGAACTAAATCTATGAAAATGGTCACTAGACATTTATGGCAAGCAAACTGTCCCAGAAATTTCCAACATTGTAATAAAATATGCAGAAAATATCTGTGCATCTTAATTTAAATAAAAAGTGGTGAAGGAAAGGTAGCTTACCCCAAAAGTTTTCTGGCCATGGGCTCCCTAAACTCGTTGTGTTATTGGCCATAATGTCCACAAGGAAAAGAAGAAGCCAGCGTGTCCAAAACAAGCAGTTTGAGTCTATGCCTTTGTGCCTCAGCAAGAGGACGCTAATTTTCACGCAACACCCCACATATACTTGTGTTTACATAGAAGGAAGCAAGTGTATCGTGTTTCCTGCCTTTCTACTCGAATTAGCAACTGTTTTTCTTATCTTGGAATTCCACATGGCTCCCAGACACAAAACTATTTCCTTCTCGTCATTTCCTCCCTCGTTACTAAGTGCCCTCCTTTCAGCCACATCCAGAGCTGTTTGGGAACAAGAGGCTTTTTCTTGAGTCCCATCTTTCATTTCCACGCAGAGGAAGAGAGCAAGATCTCCATACAGCACTTAATGCCATCTGTGTGTGACACTGAGCAATAGATGGCTTTCTGATGTTTAAAGCCCATATTCATTTACATTTTTAACCTAACATCCTTTATTTATAAATCTCAGATATTAAAATTCCTAGGTAGCCTCTTCCTGTATCTGGTATATTGATTTTGAAAGCATATTAATTCCGTTCATTCATACATATTTAAATATGTTTATTTGTGATTTTGTTATCTCTTTCATTGGGATTCCAGTGGTGAGAAAACAAGATCACGTCTATGGGACCCGATAAGGGGAAGAGGAAAGAAAAACATTCAGTGTTTTCATGCCTGGCCAGAGCTGCAGCCATTCCATGCCTGGGGAAATTATAGTTAATGTCCTTCCTACCCTCATAACACGGCAGTCCTCAGCATCAGGAGACATGGAAAGTGGGAAAAGAGGTGCTGAATGTCACTTAAACGTATTAAAGTGTATCCCTAGATTGAAAACCTGTAGCATGTGCTCTTGAGAACTCTTGCAGGCCCTGGGATGTTGGAATGTGGTCAGCTGAAGAAGCTGTCAGCCTTCTGAAGTCTGTGACACATTCCCGAGAACCCCGAGAAAGACTAAAGGGCAAAATGACAACTCATTTTGCAGACCAATTCTCCAAAATTGTGGTGGTTTCTGCTCATTTTTATCAATTTTCATAGATTTAAGTTAACTATAAATTTACCAGAGATAAAAATATACACAACTGATGACCTCAAAGAGAATGAAACAAGTGAAGAAAACTTGAGAACCCACGGAACAAACTTCATGATATTTCTATTGTATGATAGTTTTGTCAATGTTTATTTCCACACTTTCTCGTAAATAACCACGCCACCGCTCAAGAAAGGCAAAAGGCTCCACATTTTAACAGTCCTCTTTAATTCTTAATATTATTGACAAGGTGTGTACAAATTGGAACTTGAATGAACTTGCTGTGTCTAGATACAAGTCTATTGAAATACACCCCATCTTTCTAAGCATAAAACGGGACTCTTCATTGCTGTATGTACTTTAAGTGTGTGTTTTATGTAACCAATGGTTACTTATTGTCAAATAAATTCTACTCAAGTATTCCTAACTTTTATCTGATCTATCCAGACTGATTTGGGGGGTGGAAGGGAGGACTCCCGCTTTGTCTGTGTAGGAAGAGGACTTATTCTGTCTCAGGGTTGGGATAGAAGCCGAGACTTCCTGTCATTGTTCATGTTTTAGTTATCCAGATTTTCTGCCAATACATTTTCATTTTTGCAGATGGTCAGAACCCAGAAGAAAACTTGTTTTCTGTCCCTTTGTGACCTAGGGATTCATTTCTCTGGTGTTGAAAGCTTGTTGGTGGCTTCAGCTCTTATCTGTGCATATAATTCATGTGGTAAAGATTCGTGCTTTTCTCTGGCACAGATCCACAACGTGACTGTTTGTGTCTGTGTGATTTTTCAGGTCCCATGACTTATCCTGCCATAACAGGAAAGGGATTTTTTTTTTCTTTACAAAAATGTCAGGTCGGCCTTCAGCTGTTCCCTGTTTCACAGCTTGGGTGTTTTGCCTGTACTTCTCTGCTAGAGTTACCTAACTTCAGACATTCCAGGAATCACTTGCTGCTGTCATCCAGGCTTCTACCAGAAATCAGTGCTAGGTTCTTGCCCCTGACCCTCTATGACTGTTTTATTCAGAACACTATACACTGTATGACTTTATGCTGTATGTCTTAGCCAGTGTTCTATTGCTATGAAGAGACACCATGACCATAACAACTCTTATAAAGGAAAGCATTTAATTGGGATTAGTTTAGAGTTTCAGAGGTTTAGTTTTTATTATGGTGGGGAACATGTCAGAATGCAGGCAGACATGGTGCTGGAGATGTAGCTGAGAGTTCTATATCCAGATCCACAGGCAGAAGGAAGAGAGAGATACTGGGACTGCCTTGGGCATTTGAAATTCAAAGCCCACCCCTGATGACATGCTTCTTCCAGCAAGGCCACACCTATCCAGTGAGGCCACACCTCCTAATCCTTTCCAAGTAGTGCCACTCCTTACTGACCAACCATTGAAATCTATGAGTCTAAACAGAGACTGCACTTTTGTTTCCCAGCTGCCAGACCCAAATAATCACACATTCCAGGAATCACTTGCTGCTGTCATCCAGGCTTCTACCAGAAGTTAGTGCTATATTAATCACACTATATTAATTATAACACTGTTTGTCCAATGGCTCAGGCATATTCTTAGCTACCCCTTACATCTCAAATTAACCATTTCTATTAACCTATATATTTCCACGAGGCTGTGGCTCATAGGTAATGTTCTGGGATCTTTCTTCCTGAACAGCTACATGGTCTTTCCTTTACTCCACCTATCTCCATTCAGATTTCCCACCTGCCTTTACTCTGCTAAGCCATTGGCTGAAACAGCTTTATTCATAAACCAATAAAGGCAACACATATACAGAAGGATGTCTCACATCATATGAGCCTATGCAGGACATTCTTATTCAAACCACCACACTACCTATGTGCTTTTGTCTCTTCCAACTGCTCTAACAACATGCCAAGGTTTAAAGCTGTAAAAAGTTGTGTTTCAGAGTCCAAAGTCCAGGATTTTTTGAGTTCAAGGCTTTGACTGATTTGGCGACTGTTGCAGGCACTTCCTCTTAAAACCAGAACATTCTCACCCACATGCTTGCGAGTGAAAAGATTTGCCACTGGAGTCTCTCTTAAGAGAATTTTCCCTGTCTCAGGCCCTACCTCCTAATGCCATCACACTTGTGACAGAAAGAAAGTGGCAGCTAGTCATCCCCTAGAGTCTCGCTTCCTGAGTGATCACATGAGATGCCATCTGACGCAGGTGCTCTCGAGAGCCCAGCTGAGGCCAGTGTCGTGGCCTTCCATCTCGACAAGTGTGGAGCTTAATAAACCTCTTTTTATTTATAAAATTCTCTGGCTTATATGTGTTGTTATAGCAACACAGAATGGATCAGCTGGGGAAATGTATTAATCTTTATATTTGTTTCTATCTCCACTGGCTAAAATAACAACAGCAACACAGTAGAACTTTAGTACATAATTGTTAAATAAGAGAGTATAGTAATCTGAAGATATCTAACATGGAAATACTTCTGATATGCCTGATCAGGTTAGCAATTATGTCACCTAGTGTTTCAAAATAAAAATTGAAAACTCTGTTCATAGACTTCAGTATTTAAAAATTTTGATATAACTTGATAGGAAAGAGCTTTGTCACATTAAGAGAAGCATTGTCACGGCTTTCATTTCTCAGACCTACCGTGGGTTTCATGAGTTTCACATTAACTGATCCAGACGAAGTGTCTTAGCTGAGTGTGGACTTAGAACATATGAAAACCACTTCTAAAAGTAAAAAGATATCTAAGTCTGTTTTAAGAACAACAAGTTTTTAAAATCAGTAATCCGAGGGCTAAAGTGAAATGGATGCATACCGTGGCTTCCCTCTTTAGACGTCAGAAAGTCCCATCTTCTTTCTCCTTAAACTTCCTCACTCTGGTGGGGGTGCCAAGTTAAGAAAGACCGAACCATCAAAATCAGATTACTATGTGAAAAGGGAACTTCTGGGTGAGACGAGCTTACAGAATGCAGTGGGGAAGAATGAGCTCCTTCCTGTGTTACATTTCACAGTGAATTTGTCTTGTGAGGACCTGGGTGGGGCCATGGAGAGAACGGATTGAAGCATGGCATCAGGCATAAAGCTGAACTGTAGGGAAGCTGGGGTGTCTTGCCTTCAGGAGCTGGTACCACTGAGTCAGATCCCACAGACCTCTGCTGAGTCACGTCTTTTGCAAAGACAATTCTACGTCTCCCGTTCTAATGTATGTTCCCTTTATATACCTTTCTGCTTCGATCACTCTGACTGGAATTTCTGGTATGGTGTTGGCACCCTTGCCTTATTCCCGGTCTTAGAAGAAATCCATCCCCAACTTGACCCCAGTGGACTTCCATGCCGACAGAAGGATTTTATATACATACTTGGTTATGTTGAAATCCTTTCTATGAGTATTTTGTTGAGAGTTTTTATAGTGGATGGCTATTGCACTTTGTTTGTTCTTCTGTAAATGTTGAGGTGACCTCGTGGTTTTTACATTTACTTCTGCTGAGATGACAGACCCCACTGAGTTCTCTTTCATAGGCTGAGCCATTACTGCATCTCTCGAAGAAGTCACTCCTGGTCACAGGTGTATCATCCATTCAGCATGCTCCAGGATTTGTTCGCTAGATTTTGTTGAGGATTTTTGTATCCATATTTGTCAAAATGAAACGTGTACTTGCAAGTTTCATTTCTTTTTGGTGCTGCGGCATTGGCGGCAGAGAGATGCTGTCCCTGTGACATGCGTTTGTTTGCAGTTTGTTTCACAGTGCTAGGGACTGAAGCTGGCGTCTCCTGTGTGCTGGGCAAGTGTTCAACCATGTTCATCACAAAAGGATTTTGGAAAAGCTTATTATGTTTTAGAGGAGAATTTAAGAAATTTGTTAGTATTTTTTGAAAGTATAAATTCAATATATTAGCAAGGATATAAAAATCAACACGCAGACCAAGGCAGGTGAAAGATACACAGTCCAGCCTGGGTCCTCATAGTACAGACTGTCTGAAGACCTCTATAGGCCCACCAGGCTCTGCAAGGTGCCATTATGATGAGAAAATACATGGTGAGAGAAGGA